AATGCTATTTTAAAATATCATCGGTTAATAAAATCTCAAATGTTTTAAAACAATATTGTTTGAATTTCGAATGTTTCTTAAAATTCAATTTTTTCTGACATTAATGGGTTAAATTTATTTTTAGAACTAAATATTTTAAAAGAAATTTTACAAACGAAAGAAAATAATCCAATTGAAATACTAAATTATATAAAAATATTAAATTCTTTTTTAAATGCATGCATTACTTATAGAATATTATTAACAATTCATGTAATAGTTGTCTCTGCAGAAAGAAACTTTTTAAAATTAAAATTGATAAAATCTTATTTAAGATCGACTATGATACAAAAAAAATTAACTAGATTAACGATACTATCAATTGAAAAAAATATAATAGCAAAAATTGAATATAAAAATTTAATTAGTATTTTTGCAACTCAAAAAATAAGAAAAATTAACTTTAAAAAAAATTATTAATACTAAACATTGGCTCATTTGAAAATACCGATTTAAACCCAAATGGGGAAGGGAAGGAAAAAAAACTTAAACATACTCATTGCGGAAAAAATATCAAATGATTGCTCTTACGACATGCAGAAACAGAAACTTCACAACAAAGCATAGCGCGGCCATGCGGACGAGATCATTAAGATAGAGAAAGAATTAATTCAGGATTAAGGGAAAGTCCACGGTACCGGTACCGGTACCGTATCACCGCTTATTATTTTTATGATTAAATTATAATTTAAAATAAATAAGTTATAATTGTTCACGNATTTTGGTTAACAGTTATCGGCTATGATCATTTGGATTTGAATTGAGTGTATCGGTCTCTTTGGAATATTATTTACAATGATCGATCTTTTAGAAAATTGGATAATAATGAAAGTTCAATTCAAGAAATGAGTTTAGTTGTATGATCTTAATTGGCATTTATGAATAGCTTTTATAGTGAGTTATTTTTTTTTTAACATTGCTCTTTTATGAAGTTATTTTTACAAAAATCAATATTAACATTCGTATTGAATTTTATGTTGCCCCACTGTGGGAGAAGCCTGGCTCCGCCCATGTGTATATATATATATATATATATATATATATATATTTTAAATAGATCTGTATTGTAAATATACTAATAGATCTAAAGGGATTGAACGAGAGAGAGAAAGATGAGGGACTGGACAAAAGGATGAAGGGAGAGAGATGAGTGACTGAAGGAAGGGTTTACTAGCTTGATGATGGGAAAGCTCTCTGGTTTAGTTCTAATTGTAAGAAGATATTTTTTTTTCGGTGTTATTTTTTTTAAAAAAAAATCATTGGTGTTTGTATATTTTTTCTATTGAATCTGTTTGGTTTTATTTTAGATAAAGGTCATTGATATATTTTTTTATATTGATTTTATTTTTGATGAAGATTATTGAATATGTTTGGTTTATTTTAAAATTTGGTTTATTGAATTTTTTTTATGAAATTGTCAATAAAAAATAATTTTCTTATATTTTTTTTATTAATTTTTGAATTACTGTTCAAACATATATTTAGACTGTCCAAACAAGTTTTACTATTTTCTATTATATAAAATTATTTTTAAAATCATCTAACCAAACAAATTTTCCATCTTAGAAAATATCAAAACACTTCCTTAAAACTATTTTCAAAAACTATTTTCTGAGATGCAAACTAAACAGGCCCTATAATTTTAGTTAAATAATTCTCTTTCTCTCTCTCTCTCTCTCATACACACAAATAGAAAGAGAGATTTTTCTCAAGAACTATGAAGTAAATAAGACTCCAAACAATGCTATTTTAAAATATCATCGGTTAATAAAATCTCAAATGTTTTAAAACAATATTGTTTGAATTTCGAATGTTTCTTAAAATTCAATTTTTTCTGACATTAATGGGTTAAATTTATTTTTAGAACTAAATATTTTAAAAGAAATTTTACAAACGAAAGAAAATAATCCAATTGAAATACTAAATTATATAAAAATATTAAATTCTTTTTTAAATGCATGCATTACTTATAGAATATTATTAACAATTCATGTAATAGTTGTCTCTGCAGAAAGAAACTTTTTAAAATTAAAATTGATAAAATCTTATTTAAGATCGACTATGATACAAAAAAAATTAACTAGATTAACGATACTATCAATTGAAAAAAATATAATAGCAAAAATTGAATATAAAAATTTAATTAGTATTTTTGCAACTCAAAAAATAAGAAAAATTAACTTTAAAAAAAATTATTAATACTAAACATTGGCTCATTTGAAAATACCGATTTAAACCCAAATGGGGAAGGGAAGGAAAAAAAACTTAAACATACTCATTGCGGAAAAAATATCAAATGATTGCTCTTACGACATGCAGAAACAGAAACTTCACAACAAAGCATAGCGCGGCCATGCGGACGAGATCATTAAGATAGAGAAAGAATTAATTCAGGATTAAGGGAAAGTCCACGGTACCGGTACCGGTACCGTATCACCGCTTATTATTTTTATGATTAAATTATAATTTAAAATAAATAAGTTATAATTGTTCACGAGAAATTTATGATCGTTTCTTTGTTGGATCACAGATACATATGATCAATCATGAACTTCTCTTGAACAGTTGTAATTTCTCCCTTATGAGTTATAACTTAACTTTTAAAAATTGTAANCGAGAAATTTATGATCGTTTCTTTGTTCGATCACAGATACATATGATCAATCATGAACTTCCCTTGAACAGTTGTAATTTCTCCCTTATGAGTTATAACTTAACTTTTAAAAATTGTAATTTCGTTATCAATCATAATGTATCATGATCGATCATGACCTTTAAAAATTATAACTTACTCCTAAAACAAATTATACTTAACCTTAAATGGTTGTAAATTTTGGTACGGTACCTCCTTCGGTACTGCAGCCTTTCCCCAGAATTAATGTTAGGCCAGGCGACAAAGTCCAGAACAAGGTTCCCTGAATAGTGGATCGCTTGGGTATATGATACGGGAACGGGTATACAGTACGACACTTTCTTATGTACGTAGTACGATAAGAATAGACTTAACTAGTACGTTATTTTGGGTCACAATTCGTTTTAGGTCTCTTATCTAAATTGTTTTCATTATTATACAATATTATATATTACAGAACATCAATAAACACTAAATCAGTTATCATTTATATGATATTTGTGCTTGATTTTCTATTGTCTAAAATAATATATAATTATAAATCTATATGCATTTAGTCAATTAATATATATTTTATATTTGTATTACATATTCAAATGTGAATTGATTCAATGATAATATTATAATTTGAAATCATACATTTTAATAATCTAGATTATAAAACCACCCCATTTAAAATTGATGTACTTAAATTGTGGGTCATCACAGGTTAAATAAATTCTGATAACCATGATCCGGAAGACTGAGAAAAACCTGAAAGAAGGCAGAAGCTAAGGAAATATTGGTGCAGTCAATATGTTAGGCCCATCCTAGGATTGGATGGGGCTCAAAATTTATGGTTGGACATACTCTTTACTCAAAAAAGATCCAAATAATCCAATTTACGCGACTTTACTGGCTTTGCCAGGGTCCCATCGGTGGTTGTACGGTGAACGACTTAAAAAATATATATTAAATATAACAAGTAATTCAAATCAAATCGCGACGCCGCTAAATCATATCAACTAATTTAGTGATAATAACTCAATAACTCGGGATTGACTAAGATATAATTTCAATGACTCAACCAAATTATGCGAAACATAGGATTTTTAAGTATTGTATAACGGTATCATCTCATAATGCGTTGAGTCAGATATGACTCGTATCGGTATTAACCAATACTTTGAACCATGATCTGATGTTGGTCAAGAGTTGATTGCGTAAAATAAAGAAAATTCATTGATCCACCCGTAATTTATGCCAATAATGGAAATTAAAAAGGTAATGTAGACCGAGGTCTTGTTATTTTGAGAATAGTTCAAGGTCACAGTATTAGCCACCGATTCGAAGAGTTCTAAGGTATATCGATCACAATATTGCTTCGTGATACCAGATGATACGACCTAAAAGAATAAGTTGAACATAACGAGAGATTTGGGTTATATCGCAGTATTGCCAAATTGTATCAACTGATTCCATGACGATAATTTAGCAACTTGAGATTAATCCGGAATTGACTCAGACAAATTTTGCGAGACTCATTGTTTATTTGTAAAGTGTAAGATTATTGACTTGGAAGACGTCGAGTCGACCAACTCGCATTTGTATATCGACCGATACTTCGACTTGATTATGGACCTATATCATATTCAAGACATGTCATGTATGTGTGACATGTCATGTATGTGTCGTGTTGAGATTGATTTATTTATGTGTTGTGTTTAAATTGACTTGTATAAACCATGACCCGAAATTAGTACCATGATATCTGTCAATCAAATCCACTACATATGGGGCCTCTTAAATTAAAAATATACATGATCCCCAGTCTCGAAAAACCAACTTCCATGATAATTTATAAAACATTAGATCGGTACATGAGAACAAAATGTAAAAGTATCAGACATTTTCTTTATACCATATCAACTAAATGAGTTTATCGTCCCAAAATACAGTTATTCGTATGTGGACATAATCTGTCTCACATAATAGTGAGGATACTTATGATATACAAGTATACACCACCCATTCAGTAATTCAAAAATATTATCAGCACAGTATCCTTAAAAGCATCTAAATTAAAACTCTCACCAGATTTGCAGCAGCCCAACCAGCAAGAGCAGATAGAACAGTCATCACCTAAAAGTAGCAAATATTTTGTGATTGTAAGCCCTCACAATTTCTGGAAAGAGATCTGAAGTGCTGATTGTATTGTCAACAAGGGTTGTAAGAGGATTCTACAAGAAATCATCTGGCCCAATATTGACTTTCCAGAGTGTAATCTGTTTTGTACATGGTCAGTTCCAATCAACTTGGGAAGAAAACTGACGTTGTTAGCTGCCTCTTTCTATTCATCAGACCAAACTAAGGCCAGGAATTTGTAGGCATTTCGTTCGTCCATTGCTCTTCTCACACTCTCAGAATCAGATTGCCTACTGGCACCAGCAAAAATATTGGACAAAAGCACATAGTCACCACCATATTCTTTCTGCATGTTCAGTATCTTCCGTGTGACTCTCTCCCCCACCTCAATGTTTCCATGGAAGCTACAAGCACCCAAAAGCGTCCTCCAGATCACAGCATTAACCATTTCCATAGGAATATCCAAAGCCATATTTTCCGCTTCATCAAGCCTCCCTGCACGACCCAACATGTCTATCAAGCACCCATAATGCTTAATGTCTGGTACAACACCACACTTGTCCACTATTTTTTTGAAAAACTCAAGCCCCTCATCAATCAGGCCTCCATGACTACAAGCATTTAACACACTCAAGAATGTAACTGGATTTGGCTTCATGCATGCATTTTCCATTCGTTTAAAACTATCTGCAGCTTCTTTTCCCATTCCATGCATTGCAAACCCAGATATTATTGACGTCCACGACACCACGTTCCTCCTCTCATCAGATATATCCTCAAAAACTCGAATTGCACTCTCTACGCACCCACATTTTGCATATGCATCAATAAGAGAATTCATAACACGAATATCAGATGCATTAAACCCACTTTTGTCTCCATAAGAATGGATTATTTGGCAAGATTCAAGACGCCTAAGATTCCAAATAGCCGGAAAAACAGCAAGAATAGTTACTTCTGTTGGTTTAATTCCCTCATTCACAACCATTCTCCGAAACAAGGCCAAAGCTCCGTTATAGTGGTTCATCCGCGTGTAGCCATCAATAAGACCGGTCCATGAAAGCACATTCTTTATTGGCATCACATCAAAGAGATATTAAGCAACACCAAGCTCCCCCCACTTTATGAAACCCGTAATCAAAACGTTCCATGTCACTGAGTTTCTGTCAGGCATTTCATCAAACTGTTTCTGAGCTTGCACCAAATACCACAATCAGCATACATGTTAACCAAAGAAGTTTGCACGTAAACGTGGAACTCGAAGCCTGCTTTGATAGTGAGACCATGAAGTTGAATACCTATTTTTGGTCGCTGTACATTAGTGCAGGCTTTTATAAGGAAGGAGTAAGTGAAGCTATCAAAAGAGATGGTTTGGTATTGGTTTTGGTGTTGGTGTTGGTGTTGGTGTTGGATGTGTTTGAAGAGTAAGAAAGCTTCTTCAGGGAAGTGACTAAGTGAATAGTGGCGGAGCAGAGTGTTAAAGAATGTCAGGATTGGGGTTGTGGTGGATAGACGTGAGAGTAAGTTGGTGGTGATTAGTTGAGTGTGGACTTGTTGAATGGCTGGTCTGTTGCGGTGTCTGAATAAGAGAGAAAGCAAGTGGTAGCAATGCTTGTGCGTCATTTCCTAGGAAGCACGGATACTCCAAGGAAACACATCAAACAAAGTGCGTAAATAGCACCTGAAATAGCCATAGCAAGTACACAACTATCAACCGACCACAGCAAATTAACACCAATCCAATCAATAGCAGAAGCCTCACATGAACCGGCAACAGCAATGGCAGAGCTCCCCATAAGTACCCACAGACCCTAATTTCTTCCAGATTTCAATTACAACTCTAGGACCTATGGTCGGAGCGAAACCAAAATGTAATCGCCAATCTGCCGAGATTTAGGAAATTTAGAGAAAATCTAGGGGAGAGAGATGACCGAAGTGCAGAGAGTCTTCGCCTTCAAGAGAGATGCGAAGAAAAGGGCAGAAAAAAAAGGTAGAAGGCCTTCGCAGTTGTATCTCCACTTGAGACACCTTATTAGTAGCCTATACCATTAACAGAGACACGGATTAAATGGATTTAAGTAAGACTTCAATGAATTTGGGTGATCATCGAGTTGACCCGTTTAATATTTTTAATAAACAAATTATGTTCAAGTAAAATATATCAATCCGTTTATAATTCATTTAAATAAAATTAATATAATAATAAATTAATAATTATTTTAAAAAAATTAACCAATTTTTTTTTTTAATGACAGCCACACAGAAAATATATAATCTTTCCCTAACCTTAATTCCTTTTATGTTGAACGATTGAAGCCTTGTTACGCCTCCACCACTCTTCTGCTCCTCTCTTTCTCTCTCTCTCGACAGTCGACAACAACTCAACGAGTTACGAGCACCGTTTCCCGTTGAACTACAGTTCGTCTAACCACGGTCCTCCTAGTTGAAGGATATCCATATGTTTGTTGGTCTTCTCTACTTTTGCGTGCTGTCTCTTAGGTTGGATGCTTTGTTTTCTCGGTTAATTTCTCAGTGACAATGTCAATGATTGTCTTTCTGGGTTCAGAAACTCATTCTAAAAAACATAACAAAAAAATTTGGATAGTCTTCAGATGTGCTTGGCTTATCTGTGATTTACTTTGTTTTATGTTGATTTTATGTGCTCATTTTTTTTTTTGCCGATTATGTTGTTTGATTTGCTTCCTTTTGGTTTGGTATACTGTTTTTGTTCGGATCTGTACAAGTTTGAGAATTTCTTCTGGTGATAAGATCACATCCCTTGCAAAATAGATTGTGAATAGTTAGTTGAGCAAGGTTTTGGCGGATTTACTTTTTTTTTATGTATATTTTTTTGGTCTCTAAATTTCTGTTCTCTAGACCTTTATATAAATTTATGTATATTCTTTTGGTGATAAATGTCTAATTGGGTAATTCGCAGTGGGCTTGGCCTTGTTTTGTTTTGCTTGCTTAGATTAAGAGGCTTTTGTGTAAGATGGATTATAGAACATACTAGAAGGCTTCCTGTTAGATCTACATCTGGTGGTCTTGATGAGCGATGTTGATTTGATGTCTGTTGTTGCTGCTGCTAATCTGATGCTGGGTGGATGCATAAATGCTATGGTGTTGCTGTGTAGTAGCATGTATGATTTTTGGCCAGAATTGTGCCTGTAGGAGGAGTTTTTGTTCAAAATTTATATTTTGAAGGATTAAAGTCATTAAGTTGGTGTGTAAATAGGGTTTGTTCCATTTGATTCTTGTAATTCTTTGAATTGTATTCAATAAAATTTTGGTTGTCTTTTTTAAACAAACAGAAAAATGGTTTAAATGGGTTTAATGTGTTTAACAGGTTGTTTACCGTGTTAAACTGACCCTACCCAATCCGACACGTTTAAAATTAGATGTGTTAAACGAGTCGTGTTATGTTACCTGTTTATTAAATGGTTCGTGTTTGTGTTTGTGTTTAAATTTTTTAACCGTTTATTAAACTTGTCGTATACGGGTTTACATGTTTTTCACCCGTCACCTATTTAACCTAGCATGTAACTATTTAACCCGACACATTTGACACCCCTACNAGTTGTTTACCGTGTTAAACTGACCCTACCCAATTCGACACGTTTAAAATTAGATGTGTTAAACGAGTCGTGTTATGTTACATGTTTATTAAATGGTTCGTGTTTGTGTTTGTGTTTAGATTTTTTAACCGTTTATTAAACTTGTCGTATACGGGTTTACATGTTTTTCACTCGTCACCTATTTAACCTAGCATGTAACTATTTAACCCGACACATTTGACACCCCTACTTCTTAGTAAGGAAAAAAAAACGGGTTATCTCCGTCCCATAAATTTTTATTCTTATTTTATTTAATTTTTTATTATCAAAATATTAAGTTTATCCCTTCTATGCTCACTCAATTAGTAACTAAGTTCACTCCATGCTATATACACCATTTTTAAAAAGAGAAGAACGACAAAAGAAAAAAAAGAAAGAAAGATATAAGCAAACCAAAACAAGAAGAAAAAAAAACCAAACAGAGTTTAAAGGAACAAAGAAAACTATAAGACGCAAAACCACAAGATGCAACCTTGAACATGAAAAAAAAATAAGCATCAAGCACATACACAAAATCGAATAAGAAAAAAAATAACAAGTATATATGTTAAACCTAAATAAGATAAGAATATATATATATATATATATATATATATATAACACATTTAAATTCTAAAAAAAATTATTAAACTTGACAAAGATATCAAAACATACAAAAAATAATGAAAATTCATACAACAAACATGAAATCAAATATATAATTAAATTGATAAGTAATACTAACCTGTATCTCATTGAAAAAATTCATATTGTCAAAGTATTTTTGTGAGTGTATGAGATGAAATAGATAATGAAACCCTAATTATAACAAAATATAAAGTGAGTTTACTTATTAAAAGGGTGTATGTAGCATGGGGTAGACTTAGTCACTAATGGGGTGGATATAGAAAAAGATGGGTCTAGTAGTTTGATAATAAAAAATTAAATAGATTAAGAATAGAGATTTGTGGGGGTGGGAATATCACCCAAACAAAACACTCCTCGGAAAACCAAAAAAGTGAGGTGTTGGTTGGTTTGTGTTTACATTTTTTTGTTCTCAAAATTCTAAATATAAGGAAAATATGTTTGATTAGATTTTTTAATCTCTAATTTTCATTAAAAAAGTGAGAATTGAGATGAAGTTTTAGAGAATAAGTGTTGGGTGTTTTGGCCAAATTTGGAAATATGTTTTTTGAAAAAACAATGCTACAAAATCCAAATGAAATTTAAAAAATTATAACCCAAATGTATATAACTTCTTAGATGAGTGGATCCATTAACTTTTACATAAAGACCCACTCACCCAACACTCATCCAAGGGATGATATGCATTTGAGTTTCAACTTTTGAATTTTATTTGGGTTGTGTAACATATTTGGCCGAGAGTATCTGTTTTAAAATTTATTTGGCTTTAAGTACCACAGCCAGATTTATACTCCATTAAGTCCTATTTTTCATCAAACTATTTTCATTAAGTACACATTTCAATTTATTTATTTTTGTATTATCTAATTACCCCTATCATAAATGGTGGGTCAAGCTCAAGTGCCCAACTCATGTTACAAGTTCGGTCTAAATTAGTGGCCCAAATCCAAGAGATCCAGCAAATCCAACTCAAGATGGACAACCCGGTCAAGCTCATCAAGGTCAAGGAGCAACATCAGCAGGGAGCATGTAACGTCATCCAAGGCCTCGTCCTCACCGCCTTAGAAAGAGTCAACTCTCACCTCATCCTCTAACTGAGTCTCATGAAGAGAACGTAACTGCCTCGCCCGTTGAGAAGATATCGACAGATCCACCAAATTAGCTATTTAGTTACTATTAAGTCACCCCAATCTGTTAGGAGACAACTATAAATTGTAAGCTCCCCCAACACTTGGGGGGCATCATCATCACACCCAGTCGAGCACAACTCTCTCCTCGCTCTCAAAGCTTGTAACTCTGCTCTCCCTTCACACTTGAGTTAATAAAATATCCGGCAACCTTAACTATTCAAAGTGGACGTAAGTCACGTTGACCGAATTACTATAAACCTTGTCTTGCTTTCTCCACTTATTTACTGCATTTATTACTATTACTTGATAGGTGGTGTGCAAAGCCAATTTGTGCATCTTAGTTTGGCGCCGTCTGTGGAAAACGACAAAATTCTCACTTCTAAACACTTCATTTGCTGAACCAATGACGATCACTACCAGATCCACGAATCAGCCTAAAGACAATCCAGTACGAGAGGAAGAGGTTGCTCCTCCACCAACCAATCCCATTCCAAATGCGCAGTAGATGCTGGACACCATGCAATAGCTTATAGCTAAGAACCAGCAGATCCTGCAACTCATGCTCGTTGGACAAGGAGGAGCACAGCCTAGAGGACCTCAAGTCAGAAGAGCCCCACGCCTTGGACATCAATGAGCTCCAAACCATGGTGCTCCCCATTTGGGCACCCCCTTTGAAGTCCCCTTGGGCACCCCACACAGGGGGCCCACCACAA